ATTCAAATGGCAGACTCTCAGGATGGTGCTAAAAATAGACAAATCCCGACGGATGGCATATTACCGTCACTGATCGTGTCACACCCGGCTGTGGGAGTCGGTGAGCACCCACGAGAAAGCAGCAAGGTAGTACTATCGATTCGGAAGAAATGTGGTATGAGTTTAGTGATTGCAAAACATGTAAAATTCCATAAGGTGTCTGATAAGATGGCAAATGTGATTGTCCTATTAGAGGTACTCTGGTGTAGGTCTTGATGATATACACGGGGGGCACTGTGGGCATGCAACCGGGCAGCGATGGGTCGCTCCGCCCAGTTCCGGGATTCCTCACGGAGAAGATTTCCCATCTCGAGGAGCTGAAGCGGCCAGGCATGCCCGACTGCACGGTTCGGCGCATCACGATATGAGAGTAGTAGTGTACCGTGGTTTAGGTCGTGGAGTGGGAGGAGCTCCTGGATAGCTCGGACATAACGCCGGAGCATTGGGCTAAGATGGCAGAGGTAGTACCACATTTCTTTCACATCATGCACACTACTACCTCCCTCAGAGCATAGAGAACAACTATTATGACTATGATGGCTTCGTCATCGTGCATGGCACCGACACTATGGCCTATACAGCAGGAGCGCTATCCTTCATGTTGGCCAACCTTGCCAAGACTGTGGTCCTCACCGGTTCTATCCTGCCCTTTGGGGAACCACACAGTGACGCTAGGAGGAACATCATAGTGTCCACTCTCATTGCTGGTAGTAGGGGAGTTTGGAGTGCCCTCGGCGCCGACCCTTCCTGTGGACAGGTCTTTGTAATATCCCTGAGGTATGCGTCTTCTTTAACACCTACCTCCTCAGAGGGTGTCGTTCCGTGAAGGTGAGCGCACTCGGAAGATATTTGTATGGGATGGTATCTTTGTTAGGTCGATAGTGGTTCGATAGAAGCATTTGAGTCGCCGAACTTCCCGCCGTTGGCAACTTTAGGAGTCGGCATTCATTTCAACTATCACCTGCTTCTGCCCGCTCCCAAGGGTCGTTTTCATGTTCACACTTGTATGGAAAACTCAATACTGGTCATCAGGATGGTACTAGAGAGTTCACCGGTAAAGGCTTGTACGGCCTACTACTAGTAGGTGCCTGGGTTCGCCGATCTAGAGTCACTGAAGGCTAGTGCTGTGAAAGGTGTGGTACTATCTCTTTATGGTACGGGCAACGCTCCGGCCAAGCAACAGGATTTCATCGACTGGCTTAGGAGGTAATAGTAGTGGTGGTAGGGGGATGGGATAAGGCATGATTCGAAATGGTCATAGATAGCTATAATAGCCTCAGTGGAATATGGAGTCTTCGGATCAACACGAATTTTAATGGGTGGTAAAGCACGCTGGAGTAGTCGAGATTTATAACTGCCGCTATAGGCGCCTTCTTACAGAGACTCTAGGCATCTCACATTGAGGTCCTCAGGTTCAACGAGAGAGGCACAGCGGTGGTAGCTGTGTCGCAGTGTTTAAAGGGCCGAGTAGAATTGAATGCCTATGCTGTGGGTGCTCAATTGATCTCGGTTGGAGTGATCAGTGCGGGGGATATGACCGTCGAGGCGGCTGTCACCAAACTGAGCTACCTCCTGGGAAGAGGGTTACCATTACAGCAAATACGGCGAGCGTTTGAGGTGTCCCTTAGGGGGGAAGTTACAGAGGTATTATCGCTATCATACCACTCCGTTCGAACATCGTATTTCCTCTCCCTTTAGAGTAATGCTGATGAGGACATCTTCCGTGGATTTGCAGGAGTCGTCTCCAAGCTGTGACCGTTCGTACCATGCTACTATCACTATGACAAATTTATCAGCACTAACCGTTTTTAACAGCTCCTTTGCTAGTGTCCTCTAGGGGGTTTTGCGTTTCTGAGTCGACTAAGGGAGTGGTCATTCATAGATTGTCGTTCTGTTATGGTGAAGCGCCGCAGAGTACCGACTAAAGGAGCTGATGAGGCGCCCAAGGAGGAGGACCCGTTGCAGTGGTCGCGGGGTCAGCGCAAGCGAAGGGTTCGGAAGGAGGCACTCAGTAGGGAAGAGGGCGGCGTCGCGTTTGCTATGTGACTGTTATTAGTACGAAAGCAACAGTTCGCAGCTGAGCAGGTCCGAGCCAAGCATATGAAAGAGGCGGAGTTGAAGGATAAGAGTAAGGCTTTTCAACGGTGATTTTTTGTAGTGTATTTATTATCAGAAAACGCCCTTGCGAATTTACAGTCGTTGAGGGGGTCATTGAAACTAGACTTACAAGAGGAGGGGTCGAAGAAATCGCGGCCAAAGAAGATACACAAGTTGGCTGCTAAACCGAAGACAAGAGCGGCTCAGCACAAACAGAATCTTAGGGAGGTCCTGCAATACAAGAGTGTAAGTAGCTGATTATGATGGTCAGTGGAGACAGCATGGTGACAGGTGCTCTCTTTCGAACCATTCCAACAGAACCCGTTGGCTGCTATACAACAGCACCTTCGCAATACACAGGGGCCAACAGCTTAGAACTACGTTACTTCTACGTATGACCATTGCCTTGTGTTAGTTGTTAATAATCGATCCACCCAGGTTCGATCCCTGCATCCGTCACTATGGTATCCCATCCACTACTACTGTCTAGCAATGTCCCTACATGGAGGATCTCCCACAGTGTAAGATAGCCTCTATACACGCTTGCTCTTTCTTGTCGGGTTATCGTGTATTGCTACACCCTCTACTTGGCCGTGTTACCTCCTAGTTGACTGTGAAGTCCAATGATAAA